GCCTCCTGGAGAAACAACAACATCTCAGACTCCCACACAGGCCCCCTCACAGCCCCAGATAGACTAATCCACCTTCTTGCTGGACACTCACACGTAGCACCCTTCTTCACAGTTCATCAGCACCCTGCTCTGCAACCTAGCAACCCTAATACACAACACCCCCCACACACACACCCCCAAACCAGCTCCAACCCACACTTTGGTCCCACCACAACCTCAGTCAACTGAGTGACCCTCAAATCAAACTGCACCTCAACTCTCAGCTTGGACAAGATCTCCCTTAAGAAAAGTACAAAATTGGAAGTCACACTGGCAGCTGGCACCCAGATCCTGGAAGAGTTGCTCACCCAAGGCAGTGTCCTCCCCAGACACACCCAGCACTCAGCTACAGACGCACCCACACAGGCCCAACTGGAGCCTCGCCAGGTGATTCTGGTGGGGACAGGTGCAGGGGGGTGTGGGCACATGTGTGGGCTGGCTGCCGCACAGCTCTTCCCTGAATCCCTGCAGCTGTCAGGGGAGGGGGCACTCTACCTTTGTGTCACTCCAGTGCTGCCATGGAGATGCCATAAGCCCCTTGTGCCTGCATGGAGCCTGTGTGTGGGTAATGACATCTTGTGTGTGGGGCCAAGGTCAAGTGGACAGGGCATCCCTCGGGTTTAGCTCCTTCTGATACAGGTCCTCTGCCTGAATGCATGCTTTTGGTGTGTGCTTGCTCATCACTGCCTTTACCATCCTGCTTGTGCCTCAGTTTCCCTCAGCAGAAGGGACCACCGTCCGGGTCTCTGGAGCATCATGAAATGGGAAAAGAGCAAACATATGTGTGACAGAAGAGTCAGGCTTGTGGCTCCCACAGGCCTTCTACCCAGGAGCAGGTGGGGGCGAATATACAAGATCTGTGTCTCCTTGAATCCCTCAGGGTCCCATTCTGCAGCCCATCACAGGGTGCATGCAGTTTGTGGGGACTGAGGTCACGGCCTGGCATTTACACTCTGGGATGGGGGCCTGCGCAGGTGCAGAAAAATCAGCCTCCGCAGTCCTGGGCGGTGAGTCACAGGCAGCTCTCCCAGGTGTCCCCCTGCCCTGTGCATCTCCCTCCACGTGGAATACCCCGTCCTAGAAAACAGGAGACAGCTAAATCTCTTGTGTTCACAGTTGGCAGCCACCTGGAGCCTGCTAGGATCAGAAGCCCCCACCTCGTCCTGCAGGTCTGAACTGGGTGGAGAGCAGTTTAACTCTTCCTCCTCCTGGCCCTGGCCTCCTGTGTCTCTCCTCTGCCCAAAGAGACCCTGGCCGCTGCTGATGCACAGCTTGTGTGCCCATCCCAGGGACATAACTCATGCTCCCAGCTATGGACACATATGCTTTGTGAGCCCCAGCCCATGAGAGTCATGTATACCCAGCCCTGTCTCTGGCTTTCCCACATCCACATCCGTATTGCACACAACCCCCCTCCCCTGTGATCTTTCACATGGGGTGTGCCATGCAAGCATGTTTTCATATGTGATCACACACACCTCCACGTGTTTGCACACATGAGTTCCATGCACACACAGCCATCCCGTGTGCACACGTGCATAGCCCCATTTTCGTGTCCACACAAGCGTCCCCAGGAATCCTTGTTTCTCTGTTTCTGTACCCACGAGTCCACAGCCCACGGGCACACATGTGCACCACACCTGGCAACTCCCGCACACATTCAGTCTCCACTTCCGCCACCCTGGCTCTGGACCCCACGGATTTGGGCCAGGACCATCCCGCTTCTGCGCCCCCGCTCGGCAGCCGCCAGGTGCACCGACCGGCCCCCGCCTGGCAGGCTAGGAGGGGGCGGTTATTACGCGGTACCCGGCTCTTCCGAATACAAGCGTCTTTCATCCCAGCCACTCCGGTCCTGGCCCCAGACTCTCAATAGAGCCTTCCGCCTGTTCATTAGCTTGGGTGGGGGTAGGACCCGACAACCCGCGGGTGGGGCACTGCGGAGAGGGCGGAGGGGGCGGCGCGAGAGCTCGGCGGCCACACCCCCGTCTCCTTGGCGACGCCGGGGAGGAGCGTGGAGAACCCAGCCCGGGGACCAAAGTTGGGTGATTCAGGAGGCCGGCGCCCCCTCCACGGTGGCCCTCTGGGGAGGGGCTATTTGTGAATGAGCCGACCGGGTCCTCCCGGCCTAATCCTCCATCCCCGCCAGGCAGGCGGCGAGCACCGCGCGTTCCCGGCCACAAATAGCAGCCTCGCCCCCGCCCGCGGCTATTTTGAGCCACCTCCTCCCCGGCCACACACCCCTCCTGGCTCGGGCTGAGGCGTGGGGCGAGACGGGACCCTCTCCCACGCTGAAACACGAGGCGGGCAGCCAGACTGCATGGCGGGACCCGGGTCAAGGTGACAGCTAGGCCGCAGCGCCCCCTAGTGTCCGCGGGGTGAGCGTGACGCAACGGCTGCAGCCCCCTGAGAGCACCCCACGGAAGACACACTGTTCTGATTACGCACCGAGTCACAGGAACAAGCAGACACAGGTTACCACAGAAACAGGTACAGAGACAGGTTACACACCTGTGACGCAAGTACACAATTCCCACACAATGCCCGGTGCACCTAGTGACCGGTATCCGCAGGTGTGCAGCCCGTACCCAGCAACGGGATTGTAGTAAACGCTTAATAATGGTGTGCTGGTGGAATGAATGAATGAACAGGTCACTTCAAGAAACCAGGGCAACTCTGAACCACAGAAAGTGGGGCAAAGCGGAAGGGGGAGGAGCAGAGGGTGATCAGGGCACAGTGGTCCTGGGAACCCCTGGTCTGAGCTGGGACAAGGAAATGCCCAACCTGACTTTTCTGGGGAAGCAGATCAGAAAGGGTGAGCAGGAATTGCTCCCGGGCTAGGGAACCCTGGCCTCAGATTCCCCACAGGCGGCCAGCAGGAAGGGAGCTGAGTGCTGTTATCTTTCTTTGCTCCTTTTAATAACCACCTTGCACAAGTGGCTGACACAGCAGTAGGCTGCTGCTGACTGGGAGTAATGTAGAGGGGCTGTGGCGTGGGGGGACAAGCTGCAGAGGGGACCACGATGAGTCATGAATTGGTACCTGGGAGAGAGGTTCCCAAGACTGTATCACAGGAGACAGTGTCTGTGCCTAGGCAGGTCCCTGCTGCATCAGCTAGAGTCTAGAGACCCACCTGAGAGGTCTAGAGTGGGACTGGAACTTCTCTGGGGTGTCTTCTCTGAAGACTCGCTAGGATCTTTGGTCTGGCAGGCAAGGTTCTGCACTAACTTCCTCTGCCCCGAGGGGCTTTCCAAGGTGTAAGGATCTCTGTAAAGATGGTTCTCCTGATAGCAGAGATCTTGGGACACCTTTAAAAGACAGGAAAAACGACACAGGAGGAGGAGCAGAGTGGCACCGGCGCCCCCGTGGGTAGTGAGTGGGTTCTGGGTTTGCTGAGGCAGGGGTGCTGGAGCACCTGGTCGAGGGGAAGCCAGGGCTGAGCTGAACGTAGGTCTACAGTGAAGACTCCAGGACGGCCCAGTTGTGGGCTTGAGAGGCAAGGTGGGGGTCAGCCTGTGGTCGAGAGCTGGGATGCACAAAAGTATATGGCCAAGTGAGTATTGGGGTGTGGGTGAGGTGAAGCCAGGATTGGATGGGAGTTAGGTGTGGGTAGGGGTCGGGATTTGTAGACAAACTTGGTTGGGTAAAGTTGGGGTGCCCCAAAGTTGGGAAGTAGGAAGAATTGGAATGGTGGTGAATATTGGGGCCCATATAAATGAGCTTGTCTCAGTAGTGGGGTTTTGGTGGGGTTTGCGGCATATCACGTGAACTGGTGTATTCCGGAGCTTTGAGCCCTGGAACTGAGTGGGTGTTGGTTATGTGGACTGTTGTCGGGGTTCAGATGAAATTGGGTGTGAGAACTGGGCCTCGGGCCCTAACTGGCTTGGCTCAGTGGACACAGCATCCGCCTGTGGACTGAAAGGTCCCAGGTTCGTTCGATTACGGTCAAGGGCATGTACCTTGGTTGCGGGCACATCCCCAGTAGGAGGTGTGCAGGAGGCAGCTGATAGATGTTTCTCTCCCATTGATGTTTCTAACTCTCTATCCCTTTCCCTTCCTCTCTGTAAAAAATCAATAAAATATATTTTAAAAAAAAGAACTGGGCTTCGGTGTCTATGGGAACCTGTGTGAGGCCGGTATGTCCGCGATTCACGGCAACCATCAGCGTTCTCTGGGGCTCCAGCCTCTGGCAACTGCGGCTGGAGGGCCCTTTGTTCTAGACCCGGAGCGGG